ATTATAAATCTAATATTTATAATATCCAATTTCCATATCTAATAACAAAATAACTATGGTGCTTAATATTTTAGGAAATATATCATTATTATTATTATATCTGTATTTATAATAAATTAATAACAATAATATTGTATAAAATATATAACAAACTGTACATTTTAATACTAAAGAAACTTACTAGATATACAAAATACAAAAACGAGTCATAAATCAAAAACATCCGTAAATTGACTCGTAAATTCCAGTATCTCCAAAAAGGGAAAAAAAATTCCTCAGATATTAAGAAGTTGATAAAATCTTTAGGAATAATCACCCCTAGTCCCTATTTGATCCCTCTAGTGAATGAACCTTTCCCTTCCCAACGACACCATTCACAGGTCAAAAATTAAGGGTTCCACTAAGGGGATACTATTACGTATAATGCGCTCTAATTAGACGCGTGAGACACCAGAGGATCCCCGTGTTAATTACCGATACCGTGCGGCACTATTGATGCTCAAAAGCGTCGTAGCATTTCTAAAATATTTTCTAGCACAGTCCTCCTCCTCCTCGCATCGCAAACGATTGTCCGTGAACGACGAAAAGAAGAAAAAGGAAAAAAAAAAAAAAAGACACGAAACGACCGAGTACAGTCTCGACTCTAGAACTTATTAATATAATTGATCGGTCTCAGGTTGTGACAGGACTGACCTAGAAAACGCATACATACACTCGCACTACGTGCGCGCCTCTGGCGGGCAGACGTGGAAGTTCAGCGATCGAGTCGCCGGCAGTCAGCTATTCCAAAAATCTAATAATAAGTTCATTAGCCCTCGTCGTCCCTTTTGGTCCTCCTTACAAATTAGTTGGGCGCACTCGACTAATTTTAAATACCAAATAAAGTCCGAACTGACACAGACGTAATATTAGGCTCTCGTGAAAGGAACAAGGGAGCGAAGCAAAAAAGGGACGCGCAGGCGTGCGAACGAACGAGGCAGAGGGAGAGAGAGAGACGACAGATAAACAAAGATAAGCAGAGGCCGTGTAAAGGAGCCACGCTCTGCAATATCTGCTCGATCAAAGAATGCAGCTAGGGACGGCTTGCGAAGAGGAAGAAAAAGGTCTCTCGGTTTCGATTACTAAACGGTAAAAATGCACGAATCAATATGAGTGACGTGGCATTCTTGTAGATGTTGTTGTTGAAAGAAAATCTCTAGTGTATTATATATAGTGATAATTCTAGTGTATCTGGTGTATTATTACTGGTCAATGAAATATGGAGTTGGTTTTTAAAATTCTTTTCTGTGCTTGAACGTGAATGTGTCATCCAAATAAATCAAATTGTGGATTTTCAATAATAATAGTAAATAATATGGTAAATAATCTTAACAAAATTCTGGGTTTTAGGTAATTATAGTAAACTAAAGAAATAATAATAAAGTCTTAAAAAACGAAACCTTAAGTTCTAGATACACAGAAAATTATTTTACTATTGGTATATTAGTACCTTCGAATTTGTTAAAATTATACAAACAGTCGTTACTGATGAGAAAGGATATTTCCTTAAAATTATTAACATTCAATATCCATATTAAATTTAAATATTGATACTATTAATGTTATTAATATTAAAATTAAATATATAACCGACATTATAAAATTATTAACATGAAACGAGTAAAATGAACATCAGTAGTTAGAAACTTAACCTTTTATATTACACTAGCGCCATTATGCAGATATTCATAATCTGTAATTCATTATTTCATTTCATTTCTACTAATAAAGATGAGAAAATAGATAATTAATAAATACATAGACTTTGTAAACCTTCTACTTTCAAAATTAAACTTTTGATTTCAAAAAACTTTCTATTACAAAATGAACATCAGTAATTAGAAATTTAACCTTTTATATTACACTAGCGCCACTATGCAGACATTCATGTATTGTAAACGTTATGTATTCATAATAAATACATCGATTTTGTAATCCTTTTACTTTCAAAATTAAACTTTTGATTTCAAAAAACTTTCTATTACAAAACAATTACTAATTGACCAAATAAAAAATTCCCAAAACGCAATGTTTTAGTTAATATTTATCACATACAACTATTAGTTATGTTATTTACAATATAATATATAATTTCTTAATATTCATAAATATTTCTAAAAATATTTCGGTCCAAATATCGGCCCATAAATATTTCTACTATCCTTTTCGTTAAGTCTATAATTATTCCCATTATATAACTGGATGAGTCTACAATATAATCTATGACAAAAATACAAGATAAACATATAAAATCTTCGTCCACTAATTTTCATAAAATAATTCTATAAATAATTTGATTACGATTTTCATTCACGTAGGACGACGAACATTTCTTGATAATACAAATATTTTTAATTTTCCTATTTGCCCCAAACGTGACATGAAACAACGTTTCTCGATTTACTTAAGACAGACACACATGGAAATGCCTTTAACCAGCGCAAAACGGGCGAAATCTTAATCCTACAAATACATTTCCCTTACCTTCTCATCGTAGTAGCGATCTGTGTTTGTCAAATCGATGATATACTTGACTTGCGGAAACGCTTGTAACAGTACTGTCGTTGTAAATCTGCAACAATATCGCAAAAGAAAAGCATCGCGTGAGTATTAAACCTTGAACTTCTATTGGTCCTGCAGTCGTGGAGAATACACTGCTCGCGTCGTAGGGAGACGACTTCATTCGGGCAGACGGGAGAGAGAGAGAGACAGAGTGAGACAGAGAGAACACAAAACAATCGGCCTGTCGCGACGCCCTCTGTTACGAGAGGCTCTTTCTCAAGGGCGCGATCTGGTGGACGCGGTGATATATTAGGGGAACAAAGAATCTGGGGTCCCGAGGAAAAGGGCCGGAATTAAGCGGGGGTGTCGGCCCAAATAGTTCCACCATCCCTTTCGATATATCAAATTCTCCAAAGGCTCGTACCAGGTGCTCCCTTGGGACGATAGCACGGGCCCCCCTTGTCTCGGACAAGTGTTTCTCATAAATAAACAACTAGCCTGGCTCGGACTTTGATGTTGTTAAAAAACCGAAATTTATTGGAACACTAATCGATTTAAAAGCCATTAAGGCACACCTCGCGTGTTTCGACAGATTTATATCGTGAGCGAAGTATGGTGGGAAGGGGACTGTACGAACTCGATTTTATCCAACTTTGCTCTCATAAATACGTGTATATATGTATATGAAAATTGTACAATTTTTATTAACGATCAGAATTTTTGCGGGAATTTTTTCTCGATAATTTCTCGAATATGTCGATGTACGAGAAATAACTAAATAATAAATGTATTAAGGACATTTTGAGGAAGAGAGTAGTGGTTGAAAATGTGTATTAGGAAATGAGAGAAAGAAAAGAAAGGTGATAGAAACCAAAGAAAATGAAGTGTAATTTTGTTTTGTGCCTTTTCAGATATAGTTTATAAATTTAAGATAATTATTTATAGTATAGAATGTTAGTTTATTAAGTTTTTATCTTCAAATTTCTTAAACAGTTAGGTTTAAAAATGAGATAATAATACCATGTATGTATATATGTACTCGTATATTTTTACATGTAACAAGAAAATGTGACAGTGCGAAATCTTCGTAAGCCAGAAAGAATAATATAGTAAAATGTAAATATGTAATATGTAATATGTAAATATATGTAATAATATTTAAAGTTTATCGAACAATTAGAAAATGAAATTAACAATTCAAAAAATTATGAATATAATATTGAATGTAGAATTAATTAAGATACATTTGTTAAATTTATGAATTATATAATTGAAAGTGCAACATCTGTAAAAATTATTTTAATATCATTTTACTATAAGTAGTGTTTAGAAATTGAATTATGTACAAAATATAAGACCTATTATTTTTATTTCACAATCCATTCAAGATTGTATGATTTCATATTGAATCATGACACACAAGTTGAGAAACACTGTTACTCAGAGCACGAAAAGGAAAGTAAAAATTAAAAAATTCAGAAATATCATTTTCTCTATCACTTATTACAATTAATATTGAATTTTTATAACTTGTATAAAAATTATAATTTTGATACGAAAATAACTAAAAATGTTAATAAACTATATGCATTTGTAAGAATTCTTAAAACAATTTTTACTAAGAATTTACAAATTTTGTTTAAAGTCCTTATTACAAAGATAAACAGAACCCTTGAATAACAGATTGAAAATATTTGTTGAATATACCAATGAATACATGCACTGTCATAGATAAAAGCCTTAAAATTTGACAACTTTAAATCTTCAAGTCGAGGAATAAACTGATGAAGTTAATTAATATTTGTTCACAAAATGCAGAAGCTTATCAAATAATCTAAAGTGTCTAATACGTAAGAAACGTAAAAACGTTAAAATAAACTGAGAGAACGATAAACACAAACTAATCGAATGAGAAATAATCGTGCGAATCTACTCACCGATTCTCCGGCTCTAAATTGTTACTCACGGCCTGAAACAAAAAGAAAAAGCCAGATCTGATGAATTATCCAACGAATGTATGCACGATGTACTTAACCCCTTGCACTTGCTTATTTTCTCCCAGGAGACATCGTAAATCTAGCAAACCGCTTGAATGTCTCCTCTAAGTGCAGATTAGTGGCAATTGTACAGAACAAAACAACGTAAGCACACAATTTGTCAAAGATTCTAATTAGATTTTAGGTCAAATATCATTCGACTAAAATAATTGGTTCCAATCGTTTTATTGGTTATATCATCTTATTTTAGGCAACTCACTTTTCAGATGCAAAGGGTTAATTATCCTGTGTGATGATGCATGAGTTGCATATAAGGTGGTGAAAACGAAAGGTCAATGACTAAAAATTTATACTCGTTTCAAAAATTAAGGAACAAAGATTTGCGAATTTTTATAAATTCTTTATCTTTATCTTCTGGAATACATACACATATTAAAATTAATATTAAAATTAACACAAATTTATCAAAATAATTAATAATGGGTCATGATTTTCTGTTTTTGACATTAGTAAAAATATTTTGATGCTTTAAACGTAATTAACGTTGAATTTTATTAACCCTATGCACTCGGCGAGTTTTTCGTTACAGAAAAATAGTAATTCGAGGACTTTCTGTCGTAAAGTCGAGGATATTTTTAAAACGGTAAATAAGAAGTGGTACGCAAATTAAAATTAACAATTTAATTTTATTTCAATATTCCACGAATTGTTGAGTAATTTTAACCCTTTGCACTCGAGAGGTGAGCCTCAGTCACCATTTCATAAAATTTGGAAGATCGATATTAATTAATATATCAAATTTAATGTAATGTGTCGGTGTGTAAGGTATCGAAATCAAATAATTCTACAATTCTATTATTATAAAATTCTTTATTTACTGCTGAAAAAAGTATCGTCAGTTTTTTAATACAGAATCTTTGAATTTCTACTCTTCTCTAACCAAAAAATCGTCGAGT